GGTTGGAGGGTTTGGCTGAATAGGCTGGGGCTATTTTCCCTGGAGCGTCAGAAACTGCGGCGTGACTTTCTAAAATCATGAGGGGCATAGATAGGGTGAATAGCCAAGGCCATTTTCCCAGGGTAGGGGAGTCCAAAATGAGAAGGCACAGGTTTGAGGTGAGAGGGGAAAGATATAAAGGGACCTAACAGGCAACATTTTCACGCAGAGGACAGTGCATGCATGGAATGAGCTGCTATAAGAAGTGGTAAAATCTGGAACAATTACGACATTAAAAGGCATCTGGATGGGTACATGAATAGGAAGGGGAGTTTAGAGGGGTATGGGCCAAATGCTGACAAAAGGGACTGCATTAATTTGGGATATCTGGTCATCATGGACGAATTGGACCTAAGGGTTGGTTTCCTTGCTGTTCAGCTCTATTATTCCATGACTTGGGCGCAGAGGGCACAATTTTAAAGCATGCAGATATTGCAGAAATTAAAAGTATGTAGAACAGCAAGGAGAAAAGTGACAGATTTCAAGAGGATAAAGACACTCAGGTAGGCATATGGCAGATGAAATTTTAGTGAAGAGTTCAAAATTATACTTTGATAGGCAGGGGAGGCAATACTGTATAAATTATTTTTAACTGGGCAGCGAAAACAGTGACCTAGGGATTTTGGCAACGAATTGTTGCAGGTTGATAACTGATTGAAAAGCACAGGGGATTCTGTACTTTATTGATAGTGTCTAACCTTCTCCTTGGGTTCCTGGCCTGAAGACAGGTCTGACGCAATGCACCACCTCTTCCATAGGTAAGAGGAGTAAACAGGTCAAAAACCATGCTAGCTGGAATAGAAATTGAACATATGCCAATGACACTAATCTGATCCATGCCAGGCCACAGGTCACTGAGCCAACTAGCCTGCAAAGACGGCCCAGTTACTGTGGCAACATTCATTTTTGTATGCAAATGGTAATCTTGAGCTACATATAGTGATGGTGGAGATTTCAATTTTCTTTCCATATTTGGCTGACCAGGAATTTCTCCCGGCCCTACTGCCTGCCATTGGTGTTTGACGGAAGGATATATAAGTTGATTACTCAACCTGTTTGGCTGCCTTTTGAATGCAACTTCCTTGGCCATCAAGTCCTGGAGTGGGACTTGAACCTAGAACTGCTGCATGTATCCGTTGCTCCACAAGATCTCCTTTAAAGCCAATATAAAAGCAACATACAGCAGATTCTGGAAATCAAGTAAAAGGACAAAGTCGTGTAAGTACTTCAAGTTTCGCAGCATGTGTGGAAACAAATGTGTCACTAAAGCCTCCTCAATTTCCACTGGCAACCCAGGATGCATTTCTTCTAGTCCTGGTGACTTATTTACAAAGAGTACAAACAGAAGCAGATCTGCTTTTAATTTGCTTCTTTCGATATTCCACTTTATCAATGGAAGTATTAAGTACAAAAGCAAAGAAGTTCTGATGAATCTATATAAAATACTGATTCCACTATGACTGGAATACAGTTTCTAAGTCTATGCACAACATTTTAATAACATTATGAAGGTCTGAGAGGATACAGAAAAGATTTATTAGAATGGTTTCAGGGCAAGGGGCTCCAGTCATGTGAGTAGACTGGGGAAGCTGAGGTTATTCTCAGAAGACAGAAGACAGAGTGAAGTTTTGATAGGTGTTCAAAATCATGAATGGCTTAGACAGAATTGTGTTACAAAAGGAGACCGACAGTCAAATCAAATCAGCCTCCCTTTCCTTGTATTCACAACACAGTAAAATTAGAATACTCAATGACCCGCAAAATTGCCCCAATGATTCATAACCAGAATTTTTGAATAACCAAACTCGCAGTTCATAACCTAAAATAATTTTTTAAAATATTAATTACACAGTAGCTTTAGCAGAGCAAAGTTAAACAAGGTAAAACAGTGATTTAAACCCAATCTTCTTTGATTCTAGCCCCCGACTCGCACAAAGGCAGATAGACACAGTTGAGGGATAAATTAAAAGAAAAAACAGATGAGATGTAACTGGCAAATTCATTTAAGCTGTTTCCACCCTGTGTAGAATCACAGGTGCATGGGATTGTATCTTGCTTGGTTTCTGAAGACACCGATCAATGCATACAGCTTCCTGTAAGCTCCAAGGGAAAGTCGCTTAATTCTTATGACTAAAATTCTATTCTCTAAAGTCTCAATAAATTGGTAATGGGAAAATAATAATACAGCAGTCAAACATCCTTCCTGTAGCTTTGGCAGCCATAATCCTTGTGACAAAAACACAGTTCAAAATCTGTGCAAACCTTAGTTTCTCTTTCGGATTTTCTTAACATTATCTCTCTTAGGCTGATTGCCACCATAACTCCATGAGGCCCCATCAACATCCAAACATCTGTTTGAGAATAATGCATCTTTGGGACCAAAATATCTCTACAGCACTTTGAACAAGAATCCAAATGCAATTAATTTCCAGGCCTGGCCTCAAACAAATATTTTTGTTTGAACAAATGTTCAAATGTTTGTTCCCTTTCTTAAAAAAATGCTGCTGCTAACAGATCAAAGATCGCCTTCAGCTCCAAACCAAAACTAATGAAGGTCTCAACAAGAGAGAGAAACTGAGACAACAAGGTGCAGAGCTGGATGAACGCAGCAGGCCAA